TTGTTCACCCTCTTTGAATCTTAATAACTCCTGTGCTTTCGAAAATTTCTGAAATTTTGCAGGAAGGTTTGTATATTAGAAAGATTCATGCTGTTAAATTTTGGTAGTTTAAGATCAATGGTGTGGGAGTAGAGGGGTCAAGTGTCATATCTCTAGTAGGGCCAGACTTAATGGCAATTTTACTCTTTATTAGCATTTATAATTTTTTATAAAATCCATTCCTACCCTCAAACTTAAGTTTTTTGCCATTTTATAATAGTTAAAAATGTAAACAGTTTTTTTAAAATAAAATATTGTAACAAATAGTGCTACCAGAATTTTAAATGTTGCCAGGAAAGTTAAGTGATTCATTGCTGGATTTTTTACATTTAAATGGACCCACATTACATTTCTGGATTCCTTGTTGCAATTAATGTAAAATGGCAGAGTTTTATCAAAATCGATCCATTAAATTTTGAGAACAAACTAGATTCTATGAGCCTGTACAAGACATACTAGTGATTATGAAATATCGCAAAGCATGTGTCACAAAGCAATATTGCATGAATTGTGTGACTTTGTCGCATGATTCATGTGATATTGCTTTGTCACACATGCTTGTGAAATGTCCGTATATCTCAAAAATGAAGTCATGGATCCCAATTTTTTATTGCATTCCACATTGCAATTAATGGAAAATGGCAAAGTTTAATCAGATTGATCTACAGTAGAGCATCGATTATCCGACTCAAATGGGGACTGGGGTTGGTTGGATAACTGAAAAAATGGATAACCAAAAAGTATGAAAAAATACATTATTAGGATAGTATATTAGTATATCCCATGTATTTAGTATATTAACATATATTAGTATATCACTATTAACATACTTCGCGTTGAACTTTCATCGATGTTAAGCCTAACAAAATTTTTTAAAAATAATAATTGTCACTATTGTATCATTATAAATTATTTTATTGCTCACAAAACAAACGACCACTCATAATTAGAAAATTAAGCCTCATTTAAATACTGGCCTCCCTTTCATGGTCGAGCCAATGTTGCCAGTTAAAACACGCAAAAATTTAAGAAAAATAATATTTTTCTTAAATTTTATACATAGCCAAATACTGTAGGGCCACATCACTAGCGGACATTTGAATTTGCCGACTAGAATGCAGTCGGTTAACCAATGTGACAGTTGATCAGGGGTCGGATAATGCTCTACTGTATCTGGATTTTGAGAACAAAAACAATTCTGTAAGCCTCATAGAAGCCGCTCCGCTTCAACTAGTTTCTCGTAAGCACATTTGAAAATAAAAAAACAAACAAACACGTATCTATATGTACAGTGCAATAGAATAGTTTAATAATAGAAAAAATACGATAATCCAATATTAAAAATATAAAATGAAGAAAGAAACCTTCAGATTTGATACACTTTCCTATACAATAAATACTAAATTATAAAAGTAACTTATAAATATCTCAGATAAAGGAAAGGCATCTTGTAAAAACTAATCAATATTACTTAAAAAAATATGTCATATATACTTGAATATAAGATGCCATCAAATCTAACATGCTCCTTAATTTCTACTTGCTCATATATAGAATTTTGTTTTGAAAAATAGACAAATTTATGTAAACAGAACTAATTCTGTTGGCATTAATTAGTTCAGTATTTACTGCATAGTAAAGTAAGTTACTGAGCAATAAATACCACTGTCTTCTGTGGCATCAAAGCCTCTTCACTATCAATGTTAAAAGTCTTCTGAATTAACATTGAATTTGATATTCACATCTTTCCATAGACAATCATCATCATTGTTTGAAGCATCAGAAATGCAACATTGATACAGAAAAGACATTGTTCTTCTGTCAATCCAACAAAAAGTTGTATTTAGCCTTATTTATTTACCTGCACAAAAGCATATAAAGCAACAGAAATGCAACATTTCTTGAAAAAGAGCTACACAACTTTTTCTGCAATTTTCATCCATATAGTAATAACATTACTGTAATAGACTAATGAGATTAAGCTAAGTTGACCTTTTAAATGTTTACTATTACAGATACAGTGTTCAGTTTTCATTGATAATCCATCCGAAAACAATCAGTGAAATCCAAAACCATTGAAAACTGAGGCAATTACTTCCATATGAATCAATGTAAATCCAATTAATTTGTTCTAGACACTCCAAAATACATACCAAAACACATTTTATAGAGAATAAATTTAGTGTTTAATACTAAAAACAATAAGAAATTAATATAAAATAAATATAAAAGACTGATGTAAATAATATATGAACATTTAATGCGGATTTCCCATGATAGAGCTAAAAGGAAAGGAGAACAATGAAATTAGGCATATTCAAAATCCAGTATCAATCCAGTGAGATGCTGCTGGAAATGAAGCAATAACCGCTGGCATTTTCTAGAGAACACAAATGCTGACTGCCAATTTTGGGAGAGAAAAACAATAAAAATGGCCAATGATGTAGACTTCCATATTACGTTAAATTTATTTTTGAACTTATTTAATGAAAAATTATTAATGAAAAATGAATATTCTGAAAACTGAAATAGGGATAAACATTTTTTCAATTTTAATAGAAGTTTTAAATAATTAAATCAATTGTAAGATTATACCTTAACAACTAAAAAAATTGTGATATCTTATGTAAATGTACTAGTATATTAAAATATTCTATTAATGCACTAACTAAATATTAATTTATTCAGGGTTTATTCATCAACAAATAAATTAAATTCAAAATTGTCAATGCAAAATAGAGCTCTTACGAGCCTTGCGGCAGCTGCCATCTTGTTTGCTAGTGTATTGAGCACTGAAAAAGAAGCTTGCAGTTTGCTAGAAGTACAAAATTGTCAATGCAAAATAGAGCTCTTACGAGCCTTGCGGCAGCTGCCATCTTGTTTGCTGGTGTATTGAGCACTGAAAAAGAAGCTTGCAGTTTGCTAGAAGTACACTGACAGAAACTGGAAGTTATCTTAGATTGCAAACTAAGGTGCTGAGAGGTGCTGGCTGTATGCTATTTTGAATACATCCATTGTTTGGCTAGATGTGGGGGATAATGCTCACACAACGAGAAACAATGCCTCACTGAGCAGGAACACATGTGATTTCACAAAATTAATAGCAAGATCATGTGAGCACGTTGATGACATCCAAGGCAACTGACGAAAACTGAGACAAAGTTTTTGCAAAAAAAATCTGCGAAATCCGAAACAGACAATAACCAAAGTCAACAAAAATCAAGGTATTACTGTACATAAAATATAGTTTTTAAAACAGTATTTAAGTGTATTTTTTAAACTATAAGAAAAAATATATGAGGGAAAATGTATTTTAATTAATGTAATTCTACTTTGTATTTTTTGTACTTTATATATATATATGTTATAGACCAACTAATTAATATGGGCATTATTTATAATGCCCATATTAATTAAAATGTAAGATTTGACAAAAAAGTTATAAATATAAAGAAATTTCAATAAATATTATAACATAGGTCCTCCAGGTTGGGGGTTATGTGTGGGGCNTTGTAGCATTTTCATCACTTAAAAATAAAAAGTATAAAACACGTCTCTTATATTCATCTGTTACTTCCATTTTAACGAAAATAAACAACTGAAATGTTCCCAATTCTGAACAGTATTATATGAATGAGATTCAATTTAACACTTCAGTGTAAAAAGTATCACATTAGACTGGCATTTTTAACAGCAAAACAAGATCATAAAATACTCACGAACTTATGGACTGACCTAATAGTTACATTATTATTACACTATAATGATTCATTGATGGAATGAAATATTGAATTATTAATGAGTGCTAATATTTCACTTGTTTAAAGATAATATCTTAAGGTGTTAGTGGATATATTAATAATTTGAAAACAACATTTATCAAGCTGATTTTATAATAATATATAATAAATCACACCATCCACAGTTTTTCTAGCAGCAAAACTTTAATATATGAATGTTTTCAGCCACATTTAGGCTGAAAACATTCATATATTAAAGTATTGCTGCTGGAAAAAGCATAGATGGTGTGATTTATTATATACAAGTTACAACTTACATATTGAAAAAAGTTTTATAACCATATAAAAAATTTCTGATACCCTTTCTTGTTCTAGATCTTGTTACAATTTTTGGCGTGAGAGATATTGGAGAACTGTCTAAAATCTGATCCATCAATTCTTCATTATCCTTAAATAAAAAAAAGTTATATAATAACAAATTTATTATTATTATTTTATTTTCATATTTCTTATTTGATAAAAATTGCTATGGCTGATTGCCAACATTAACAAATTTAATTATTTAATCTTATAACTTAAAATAAATGTAAAATATGATTTATGGCAAATGAAAAAAAGTCTATTAGCACTGACTTTCAAATATATCTTAAAATATGTCAAATTTACTTTATTTGGAGTAAATAATTATAAAGAAGTATAGCATAGATGTTTTTAATTAACACTCATCTTCATGAACTGAATACAAAATCAAAGAAAAAATGGAGCTATCATGAAAATGAAATAATAGGTTGTCTTGGAAAACACAAGACAACCTATTATTTCATTTTAACAAGTATAAAAATAAAACTGAAGAAAAAAAATTGAATGTATATAATAATAAATACAAAAATTTAAATAATTTACCATAGAGGCCCAAATATAAGCTGACCTTTTATTATTAATTTTATTTGCAACAAAAAATTTGAAAGTCATCGAAACAATACTTCATCAGTTTCATCTACATCAGAACTTTTATCATCATTTTCTTCAGCCTCCTTGTACAGCATATCATCCACTGTTCCGTCTAAGTTGTGGTAACAACATTTCTTAAAGTTCTTTATAACTATGTCTTTGCCAATATGTTATCATAATTTTACTGGTATTTCACTTTTACAAGAATATGTGGAATTTTCATTATTTTTTTTATCTATATAACTTATGAAAATTTGTCACATTCAATTACATTTTTTCTTTTCAAAATTACTTTAGTTAGAAAAATTTTTTTAATTCAACCATCTTCACACTGGAGCGAAACCGTACCTACATCATGAAAGAATAAAAAATATTCCTGGGCATAAACCCATAACAAACAATTGACATTACTTTTGGGAGCTAATGCTAGCAGTGATATGAAGCTTATCCCACTTGTCTATCACTCTGAGAATCCTAGAGAATTCAAAAAAAATTTCCATAATTAAAGAAAGAAAGACTGTTAGTGATGTGGAGATCGAATAAAAGGGCATGAGTCACACAGGCTCTTTTCAAAGAATGGCTGTTTGAAGTTTGTGCTCAAGTATCAAGGATTACCTTCGGACCAATGAATTGCCATTGAAAGCACTGTTGCTATTGGACAATGCACCAGGACACCGATAATTTGCTGAAAGACTTTCCCTGGCTGACAGTTCAGTTTCTACCTCCGAATACCACTTTGTTGATTCAACCAATGGATCAAGAGGTTATTGCAGGTTTCAAAAAATTTTACATTCGAGCACTGTTTCATCAGTGTTTTTGAAGCGTGCCAGTTCTCCTCAACGATGACATTAAAAACATTTTGGAAAGAAAAATTTGATATTCTTGAAGCTGTACGGCTCATTCAAAAGTCATGGTCAGAAGTCACTCAACAACAGTTGAATTCTGCTTGGCGAAAGCTGTATCCCTCCTACATTCAGGGCAATGGAGATGATGCCCCTGAAATTATGGATGAAATTGTGACAATTGCTAGAGATCTGGAATTGGAAGTGAATAAAGATGACATCAAAGAGCTCATAATGGAATCTGAAACTGATCTGACAACAGAAGAACTCCAAAAACACTTAAATGAAGAATACCAAGAAATTCAGCAAGATGTGTTTTCTTCTGAAAAAGAAGAAAACGAAAAAGGATCATGCCAACATATGCTATTAAAGATCTTTTGAAGAAGTGGGAGAATGTCAGAATGGCATTCAAAGGTCTTAGAATGGCAACCACACCAACGTCAACTTGGTTTGGTTAATAGGCTTGGGGATCTCTACAACAACAATGCTATTAATTACTTCTGAAAAATCCTGAAGAAGAGAAAAGCAATTGGCATTAGCCAGATTCTTTAACTTCCACAAACGGAAAAAACATGACTAATAAAAATGCAAGACTGTGTATACATGCATTTTTATTATTACATATAAATAAACATAGTAAGAAAGTATATATTTTTTTACATTTTGGAGTCTCCAGAACAAATTAATCAAATTCCCATAAAAATATATGGTAAATTGATAATCAGTTAATAAACAATTCGGGTAATGAACAAAGTCTTGGAACAGATTATGTTCGTTAACCGATCACCCACTGTACTAGTATTGATAGCAAGATAGGTCAATAGTAGGCCAATAGACATAGAATAAAATAGAATAGATCATCACCAATAATCATTATTATATAAAAACTTCATAATTTCTGGAATTAGTATGCTTTGAAGATAATTTTGATCAATTTTTCAGAAAATTAATTTTTGGACAGTCAGTGCTCTACTATAGATTTAAAATGTTAGATATCTGATCTACTCTTTTCCCCCAGAAAATTTACAGCAAAAGCAAACAAAAGCTTTTTATAGTGAATATTGAGTGGAGACAATAAAACAATTGAATATATCAAACAGAACTTTAATCTAAAATTGCTATTTGTTAAGATGAAATCACAAAATGCAGTTACTTTATAAGAATTATTCAGAAAAATAAAATTCTAAACCATTTTTAATATCCATTTTTAATCCACATAATTAGAATAAATTAATCCATTTTCAAAATTATGACTGTAATTAAACTTACTACCTGATCAGTGCTGGTGGTGGTGATGGTGGTGGTGACAGAGGTAATATTAGATTGTGGTGAAGATGACACTGAAATTATATCTAATTCTCTTCCATTTCTTATTTCTGAAATAGGAATAGGACTCAATGGCTGAGAAGATTTGCAGGAAATTATGCTTTCTTTATCATCATACTTGTTATATTCCATTGATTGATTGGATTTGTTCTGCATAAGTAAATATGATTTAACAGTTTGATGAAATTTTTCTACTGACTTTACTCCATATACAGCAGGATGGATCTAGATTAATATAAAAAAAAGGAAAATAATAAAATGATTTTTTTAAAAGTCCATAAACTTTTTATGATATCTAACTATTTGTACTTATAATAATATAATTTTCAAATGTATTATAAAATTATATTTTAGTTTTTGGATAAAGAAAAATTATTTATTTTAATATACACTTCTCAAAAGTGAAATTGAACACAGTGAAGAAATGAATGCAGCCATATGCAAATTGCAGTACCAACAAAAGTGACAGAGATGGATGTGTAAATGATTAAGTTTGCATATGGATCAGGCCATGTGGTACCCAGTTTTAAGCTATAAAGACCAGCTTGGGCCATAAATGCTATTAACAATGATTCATTGCAGCCAAACTTTTGAAGAAGTGTAGAAAATGCCTTGGAGATAATAGCAAGCTGAATACCACCAGTTAATGGCTAGGGAACAAGACTGTCTCCTAGAGCTGTATGACCTTGGTTTGTTGATGTGTGCAGTTGCCATGCATGTTGGGCATGATGTGAGTACCATCCAGCAATGTGTGACATGATGGATGCGGGAACATCTGCAAACATGTCAAAGAGGGAGTGGATCACACTGGTGCAAGACAGAGTGCACAGACTGGCAGATTTGCCATTCAGCAAATCTGCCAGTCTTTGCATCAGGACCCAACAGGAGAATCTGCTGATGGATGAATCTGCCAGTTCACTCTTCGGAACTTATTTGCCAGGGCACATGATATGCAAAGCCATCTGTCACTATCAATGGGTGCATCTGTGTAAACCAAACCATTCTCAATAAATTGCATAAACTAAAGATAAAGTCACTCTAAAAATTATTTTCAGACGAAAATAATTTTTAGAGTGACTTTGTCTTTAATTTGTACAAAAATAATTATTCATCTGACGGAAATTAAAAAGTTGCATAAAGTTGAGCTGCATGCATAGCAACCAATAATGGAAGTGCCATCATTGGGGAATACCTGTTGAGGGGTATCTGCTCGACACATAGCTACATGCCTGGCATGGTGTTGTTATTACAACTGGAGCACTGAATAAAATTGGGTATTGTTATGGATGAATTTTTCTCTTCTGTGGTGGAATAATTGCTGTAGATGGATGTAGAAGTATCCTGGGGAACCCTTTTTGCCAAACATCATGGTTTGGGAAGGAATAATGTTTGATATGCAGACAGCCCTGGTGTCCATTTCTGGTTCTGACAGTGGGCCAGTATGTCATACAAATTGTGGAACCTGTGGTTCAGCTGCTGGTGCTGCTGCACCCAAAACAATGTTAAAGCAACACTGCCTGACCACACATTGCATCACAAACTCTTACCAGCCTGAATGAAATTCATATCTAATAAACAAAAATGTTTCTATAAATCAAGAACCTTCAATTCATTAAGTATTTTCAAAAATATTTAGTTTTATAAAAAATTATTATTGCACAATTCCAAAATGTCAATCTTCAAAATTTCTGTAGTATAGTTTTTTTCCTTGAAATTATCTTTACTCAAAAGTATTTAATAAATTGCAGATTTTTTATTTCTAGACAAAGATTCTTATTTTTTAATCTTTTATATAAATTGTTTTAAATTAACTGAAAATTTTAAATTAGCTTAAATGAAATTATTATTTTATATAATTTTAAGTGAATGCCATTAATGTTATTAAATTATCAAAATATTTGTAAAAACATGGAAAAAAAAACCTTTAGAATATCTTCACAGAGAACATCCAAGTCATTAAGTATACTTAAAGCACTAGATGAGAGCTTTAAGTAGTTTAAAATTTTTGCAAAAAGTTGAGCTTTTCCAGAATGAGGATTTTTCAAAATTTCATTACAAATTCCAATAGACAAATGATCATGAATAGTAATATCCTGTATAAAAAATTTGAAATTATTATTTGGTATAACAAACAGTTAAATGAATATTGAATCTTCTTACTTGTTTTTCATTTGGAATTAAATAAGGATTAGTTAATTCTAACATAAATTTGGCAACATTAGTTTGATCTATTTGAGCTAATGGACTGGAATATGGAGCATCAAACAGAGCATTAAGAGTAGGTAAGAAAGCTTCTTCAAACTGATCTTGATTACATCTAAAAACAACTCAGATCTAAAAACAATCTAAAAACTCTTGATTACATCTAAAATCGATACTATTTAAACTCAAAAAGTTTTCATTTTAAATTCATTTTACAATATTTACCTTTTAGAAGAAGCAAATGCAGGAAGAAAAACTCCAAGGAAATGTCGTAAATAACAATCATCTTCTGTTACTGGATTATACCAAAGTAAGATTAACTGTGTTAAAAAATTAGAAGAAGTCACACGCCCTTGAAACAATAGCTTTCCAATACCTTCTGCCATTACTGTCCGAACTTGCTCAAACTAATAAAACAAAATTTTATTAAATTTAGTGCTTAATTTTAATATTTTTTGTTTGCTTAATGTGTCTGTTTAACGAATATTCATATTTATGTAAAATTTTAACACATTTATTCATATTGAGTAACTTATTATTTTCTAATGTAACAATTATCTAAAAATATGATAAACACAAACTTTTTCTATTCTGGTCAGAAAAAATACACTATGGTGCTAATACTTTTTACAAAATGCCCAATAAAACAGTGATATTTCCATTTAATTCAAAAAATATGCAAAAAACTGCAATTTTAATATTAAGACTAGACTAAATTTTAATATAACTAAATAAACTGTAAAATTCTATTGGGTTCCTTTAGCATCTAAAGTTATTATTAGGAATTACTCTTAGTGTGATTAAATTTATTCTCATTTTCTTCTGGAATTTAAATCTGTAATTTTTATTTTGTAAATGAATAAATTTTCTTATTGAAGAAAGATTATTATCCAAAATTATATAGATCATATATGAACTTAAATAGGACTATCTCAAGTAAAGCATTTTGTTAATGGTGATATAAAATAAACAAAGAAATTAAAACATTAAAATCAACAAAGCTATCAAAATACATAAAATACATCAAAATACATAAAATCATACATAATACAAAATCAAAATACATAAAATATTATTTTAATAATATAGTGATATTTTGGTTTTTGTTGCTAATCCATCTGAAAACAATCGACAAAATCTGAGGCAATTATTTCCAAATGAATCAATGTAAATCCAATTAATTTGTTCTAGACACTCCAAAATACATACCAAAACACATTTTATAGAGAATAAATTTAGTGTTTAATACTAAAAACAATAAGAAATTAATATAAAATAAATATAAAAGACTGATGTAAAGAATAAATGAACATTTAACATGGCATTTCCCAAGATGGAGCTAAAAGGAAAGGAAAGCAATGGAATTGGGCTATTTAAAATCTCAGCATCAATCCAGTGAGATGCTGCTGGAAGTGACGCAACCACTGGCATTTTCTAGAGCAGTGTTCCGCAACCTTTTTTCTCTTGTGGCTCACCAAAATATTTTCCTCAAAAACATGTGATATGATACTATTAATAGAATTACATAATGCCACTAACCTATTATTATTATTATTACTAAACAGACCAACACCTGTGAGTAAATTTATTTTACATTTAATTTCTTCGAATACATAAAAAATGTGCGGCTTGTAATAAAGAATAAACAAACATCGTCTTATTTCATCAGTGCTGCGGCAGAGAATGAAATGCAAGCATAAAAGACACATCAACTATGATAAAAATTTATAAATAAAACTTGAAATTAATAGAATATGTAAAAGTTTACGTCACACCTTCACCTTTGTGACAGCACACGGTTGCGGAACACTGTTCTAGAGAACACACACGCTGACTGCCGGGAATTTCGGGAGAGAAAAACAATAAAAATGGCGAATGATGTGAACTTCCACGTTACGTTAAATTTATTTTTGAACTTATTTAAAGAGAATAGCTTAATTAAAAATGAATATTTCGAAAACAGAAATAGGGATAAAGATTTTTTCAATTTTAATAGGAGTTTNTGCTAGTGTATTGAGCACTGAAAAAGAAGCTTGCAGTTTGCTAGAAGTACAAAATTGTCAATGCAAAATAGAGCTCTTACGAGCCTTGCGGCAGCTGCCATCTTGTTTGCTGGTGTATTGAGCACTGAAAAAGAAGCTTGCAGTTTGCTAGAAGTACACTGACAGAAACTGGAAGTTATCTTAGATTGCAAACTAAGGTGCTGAGAGGTGCTGGCTGTATGCTATTTTGAATACACCCATTGTTTGGCTAGATGTGGGGGATAATGCTCACACAACGAGAAACAATGCCTCACTGAGCAGGAACACATGTGATTTCACAAAATTAATAGCAAGATCATGTGAGCACGTTGATGACATCCAAGGCAACTGACGAAAACTGAGACAAAGTTTTTGCAAAAAAAATCTGCGAAATCCGAAACAGACAATAACCAAAGTCAACAAAAATCAAGGTATTACTGTACATAAAATATAGTTTTTAAAACAGTATTTAAGTGTATTTTTTAAACTATAAGAAAAAATATATGAGGGAAAATGTATTTTAATTAATGTAATTCTACTTTGTATTTTTTGTACTTTATATATATATATGTTATAGACCAACTAATTAATATGGGCATTATTTATAATGCCCATATTAATTAAAATGTAAGATTTGACAAAAAAGTTATAAATATAAAGAAATTTCAATAAATATTATAACATAGGTCCTCCAGGTTGGGGGTTATGTGTGGGGCTAACAACCCCACCATATAAAAAATAGAATGGTTACGAAACAGTCACAAGAAAACAACTGGACAGCCTTTAAAGGAAATCGACAATGGAACTGGAAAAACAGACTGAACATAAGAACTTGGAATGTAAGAAGCCTTTATAGAGCAGGAACACTTAAGGAGGTAATAGGAGAACTACAAAGATATAAGATGGATATCACAGCCATCCAAGAAACACAGTGGGTAGAAACGACATAATCACATCAGAGAACATAATAATCATACATGGAGGAAGTACTAGACATGAACTAAGTACTGGTTTCATCGTACCTAAGCATATATGGGATTCGATCTTGGCACTTGAATGTATTTTTACAAGGATTTCCAAACTCAAAATGAGAGGCCAATGGTTCAATATCACACTGGTCCTACAGAAGTCAGTGAAATAGAGGAAACAAAGATGAATTCTTTGAGGAGCAGAACAACACAATGACAGGTGTTCCAATGCAAGACATAGTGATGCTTCTTGGGGACCTTAATTATAAAATAAGCAAAGAACAGTGCTTCCAACCCACCATAGAAAAGGAGAGCCTGCATGAGACAATCAATGATAATGGAGAGCGACTTATCAACTTAGCCAGCGCTAGAGATCTGATAATCCATAGTACTAATTTCCCTAGAGAAACATTCACAAACAAGCATGGATATCCCCAGATGGCAAAACTAGGAACCAAATAGATCATGTACTCATTAACCGGAGATATCATAATAGCATAAAAAACATACATAGTCTCACTCAGAGGAGCAGAAGCAGGAATAGATAACTTCCTGCTGAGAGCCAGCATGAAAGTGACACTCCAGGTAATGACAAAGGACAAGCAAAACCATCGTTTTTCATACAATGTACAGTACATAAACTCAAAGCTAATGACACCAGGCGACAATACTGGAAGAAATAGGAAAGGCTCTAGAATTGAATACAATGAAAGAGGTGGAAATGGACCAAGCCTGGAAAGCAATGTGCACATCCATCTTAGAAATAGCCATAAAAACCTTACCTAGAGAATACAGACCAAGAAAACCATAGTTTAACAGCATATGTGAAGAAGTGGTAAATCAAAAAAAGAAAGCAACAATGAATTGGCTGGACAACCCAGAAGACCTACACATCAAAAACCAATATGATGAGGCAGAAAAACATTCTAAGACGACTAGTAGACAGCAGTAAAGGAAATTTCTCACAGATTTGATTGAAGAAGCAGAAAGTGAGAGATTTCTTCAGACATTAGCAAGGTTGAAGTTTTAAACGCAAAAACGTGTACATCAGATGTTCAAGTGCTGCTTTCCTGTAAGCCTAGAAGTTTGACAATGATGTTTGGATAGTCAGTGGAATCATGCTTGACATTCCAAACACTATTGTCAAACTTCTAGGCTTACAGGAAAGTGGCACTGAATGTCCAACATACACATTTTCATGTTTAAAACTTTGGCCTCAACCTCATTATTAAGACTCTATATAACACATATTGACCAAAACCCCTGGTCATCAAGGATGCATGTGGGAGGCTGTTAGCCAACAAACAGAAAGTTTCCAAAAGATGGAAAGAATATTTCCAGGATCTTCTGAACTGTCCAGACCCCATGACTCTAGCCACATTCCTCCCAAAACACACTGTTCAACCAGAAGGTAAAGAACCTACTCAGAGTGAAGTTCAGGTCATCATACAAAACCTACATAATCACAAAGCTGCAGGGACTGATAATATCAAACAAGAGCTGATCAAATATGATGGACAGCAGCTTGCTAAGACAATCCATAATCTGATTCTGCAGATCTGGAGAAAGGAAAGAATGCCAATGGAATGGAAGGAAGCAGGCATAATCCCCATCCATAAGAAATAAAATAAAATGGAGTGTAAAATTACAGGGAGATCTCCCTATTCCAGGTGACATACAAGATCCTGTCATCTCTAGTTATGAAGAGACTGACTCCACACATGGAGGGAATTGTGGGTGAATATCAAACTGGCTTCTGAAAAAACAGAGCCACAACCAATCAAATCTTTGCGTTAAGACAGGTTCTTGAGAAGAACTGGGAACACAATGTCGACACACACCTGTTGTTCATTGATTTTCAAAAGGCATATGACAGCATTCACAGGCAATCAGTGTGGAAGGCCATAAAGGAGTTTGAGATACCAGACAAACTCTCCAGAATTGCAGAAATTTGCATGAATGAGGTGTGATATACAGTAAAAACTAGGGTCACAAGGTTGGACAGCTTTCAGAGCAAAACAGAACTAAAACAGTGAAATGCTCTGTCTCCTCTTCTCTTTAACATTGCTCTAGAAAAAGTTGTCAGAATGGCCCAGGAGATAGACAATAAAAGGGAAAATGACTCAAGAGACAAATTGTCACTACTAGCATATGAGGATGACATTGTCATAATTGGAGCAGCTCAAGGGGAAGTGACAAGATTAACATCAAAATTAGCAACAGCTGCCAAGAGCATGAGTCTGATCATCAATGAAGAAAAGACTAAATACACGGTTATTTCTAAAAAGGAAGAATCCTACAAAGAACATCTAACTGTAGACAATATGACATTCAGCACTACGTAATCCTTCATGTACTTAGGGACTGACAAACAGAAACAATGACATCAAGAAGGAGATAGGGACTTGCTTACTACAGGGAAACAAAATCTACTTCAGGCTTACAAACATACTAAAAAGCAGACTCCTTAGTAAAAGGACAAAGCTAACTGTATATGAGTCACTGATTAGACCTGCGATTCCATATGGATATGAAACATGGCCAATGACAAAGCAGGAGAAACAACAACTACAGAGATTCGAAAACAAAATACTAAGGAAAATCTTCGGACCCGTGGAAGACTACGATGAAAATGGTATCATGGTCAATGGAGAACCAATATGGAGAAAAAGAACAAACCAGGAACTGAAGACAACCTGTGGCAAGCCCATGATTACACAGGTGATTAAAGCCAGAAGATTACAGTGGCTAGGCCATGTCATAAGGCTTCCTAAAATGGCAACAGCTTCATGAGGGCTTCACCATGAGGGGAAAGGGAAGAGGCCAAGAGGCCGTCCCAGAAAAAGATGGATAGATGGGGAGTCACTGAAAATCTTCAAGACCTCAGAATCAAAGATTGGCAGAGGCAGGCTATAGACCAAAGAAGATGGAGAAAGATTGTGACTGCAGCTAAGGACCTCCAAGGCCCATTACGCCAGATGAAGAAGAAGAAGATTTATTTATAATACCCAGCCATTATGAATAATGACAAACAAAATCACACTGCAAAAAACTTCACATTCTTTATCATAATTTATCACACTGACAGGTCAATATGAATACTGCTATTATCTGTCTGGCAGAGTGGTGATGATAATATTTAATTTTTTGTATACCATATACCAAAAATGTGACATTCTAGAAGTTTCCATTACATTGATTTTTATGATTGAATTATATAACTTTGTTAATAATACTTTTTGTTAACATTAATTAATGCTACTTTTGTTTAAAAATATTCCAGTTTGTAAGTAAAATTTCCACAAATTATTTTTTTGAAAACTGTGTGTAAAATATTTGTCAAAATAAATGTATTTTAATAATGATTCTAATTATTTTATAGAGTCTGTTGATTAACAAAGTTTTATATAATTAATAGATCTATATTGAGGGGTGCTTCTGATGGCCAATGATGTTGGTGTGAATAAAGTGAACTGTACCTTTCTGATTTAAATTAAGTGCTAAATTTAAGATAATAAGGTGGCAAATACAGGTATTTCTAATGATAATACTTTATTTCTTCTAATAATAGCTGCTGTAGAACAAAATATGGGTCCTCTCTCTTTCTCCATTGAAAAGAGAATGGCTATCTTTAACAAGAAGTAGCACTACAGTTAAAGTGAATAAGTAGGCTAATATAGATACAATGCTTTGTATGCCAAATAAAACTTTCTCTGGTTTGGAGAAAAGGGAGAGAGTTTGTGAAGAAGAGAAAGAGATCAATTTTGAAACCACTAAAATTGGTTTCTCTGACTAAAATTGGCTTACAAAGAAAGCTAAATCAGATACAAAGTTATTTTTCTCAATTAAAAATGAAAATTAATTCCACAAAAATGCAAATTTTAATATTTCAAATGGGTGGTAGACTGGCTAAACAAGACCATGACTTTTATAAACAAAATAATAATAAGTTATAATATAAATTTTTTCATCTACTAGTACATATTTTCTATTATCAGGACTTGTTAGACTGGCTTTACAGATACTGCAACAAAGTTTCACAGATTCACATTCAAGCAATTGGTAAATTATGCAAATCCAGTGGTAGCAGAGCCCTGTAATTCTACAGGCTGTGAAATAGTACTAAAATCAGTAAAAATAAGGAAAAAAGAAAAGAATAATTATAAAAGTACAACTTTATGAACATATTAATATAATTAGACAAAATAACAGAATGAATAATAATACTGGAAGAGAAATACACCAATCATGGCGAAGAATCATAGAGGAAGGGGGCGTGTTTAAGGTATAAAGAGAACATCGAAAGAAGTGGAGACAAAGAGTAAGTCAAAGTGAACAGGAAGAGATGTAAGTTCTGAAATTAGTGTATAAAGTAAAAAAACAGAGATAATGTTAAACTTTGATATAATAATTTGTCCTAAAACAGGTTTAGATTTACAGTATTACTGCTATTAATGTTTAAAATTGAATGTTTGGAGGAACTGAGAACGAAGGGAAAAAGTTTGGAAATTGTAAGAATTTTATATTAATGTTGGTAAATAAATAACAATGGTTGTTGGGAAATGTAAAAAGCTGTGTTTTTTTAAAAATTATCTTATTGTTTTTAATTATATAGAATGTACAGTACAACATAAATACCTGCTGAGCAGGGACGAAAGAGTCTGAAACCCAATATTATGTATGTGTCCAGGTATATTAAACAAAACAAATTTCTGATCTGTGAAACTTTGTTGCTGTATCTGTAAAGCCAGTCTAATAAGTCCTGATAATAGAAAATACGTACTAGTAGACGAAAAAATTTATATTATAATAAATCAAGGACATTGAGGCATATTAATTTAAAATAATAAGTTACTGGTTGTTGATGAAATATTTTATTTGGGAATACGGTTTACTGCTACTTTATCATTTAAAAACCATTTTCAACATGTTAAAAATATAACTGTCAAAATAATAAATAATTTAATCTATTTACAGTCAATAATGAAAATCAACTCAGTAAAAAATCAATTTCAGTTGTTTTCCTCAATTGTATTAACCTCAATATGTTATGCTCTTCCAATGTGGGGAATTGATTGGTTAATCCACCTTGAGAAAATTCAGTTAATTTACAAAGGAAATTATATTGTCTGGAGAAAGAAGTTCCTGGTTATGCTGTGTGTCATGACACAAATAGACTAATGCTAGAGCCTTTCTTGATGATAAGGATCATAAAATTTTATAAAAGAATTACTTGTAGTAATAACATCCCGATTAATTCTACTATGCATAAGCTCAAAAGAATATATAAGGTAAAAAAGGAATTATCATAATAATTGGTTTAACAAATTTAGTTTGTTATTAGCTAGATTTGGAATTTCACATGTTTTATTTGACCTTTCAGATGACTGGAATTATGGATATGCTATTTTAGTTGAAAATATGTTTAATACTGTATTGGACCAAGAAAGGAATAAACTATCAAATTCAAAATATCATCCATGGTATGTAAATAATTTGAATTTTCCTCCATCAAGCAGTTTTATTAATTTCCAAATAATGCCGTCTCATAATATTAATCCATATGAGAGCATTATAAATAATCACCTATTAGTCACTTGGCCTATAACATATATAATAGTATTCCATACATTAAACAAGCATCAACTGCATACAATTCAGAAAATTAATTTATCTTTTTTCAAACATTATTAAGTATTTTAAAATAATCACCTCACTATTCAGTTGAGAACTTAAAATAGCCAGAATATTGGAAACAAGATCTTTAGATATATTTTCAGTAGTAATTTCATCACCTTCATCTGTAGGTGTTTCTGGAATAGTATCAGTATCTTCTGGGTGAAAATCCTTCTGGAATGAATCTAATCCATACAGTAAAAGAAGATCAAATATAGCTTTGAATGCCGTCACTTGAATGGATTCTTGATCAACTTGAGCTATCTGAAATAATTTCTGATTTAGATATTGTTTCAGAAAAACATTTTTAACTATATATTATATATAAATAATTAATATTTATTAAAAGATATGATCTAAAAGTCATATAAAAAAACAAACTGATTATAGATCAATCACAACTGCAGTATCAAAATAATATTGTTAAAATGTTAAGCATAATTAATAAAAAATCACATTATCACAGTTAATATTGATCACTTTAAAAACAAGAATCTCACAGTTTGCTAAAAATTCATTAATAATCACTACAGAATAAGAATGGTTACTATACAGCAGCAACAAGCTACTATCATTTTTCTGAAACTAAGTCTTACTTGGTGAAATTTTTAAACCAAGTGACAGGATATTGTATTTGTTTTAGCATTTCATAAGTTTCAGTCCATTTTTATCCAACTTGCAACAAAGTTTAATGTTAGCTCTTTAATCACCATAAACGATGACAATAATTTTCACAATACAGAATATAATAATCTAATTACTTGTATAAAGAGATAGTAAGAATGAACTAGCCACTGTGGTTACTTGGCTGAATTAATCATGTACCTTTAACAGAGGTGAATAACACTAATGTATTTGAGCTGTTAATGAGTCATCTTCAGATTCAACTGTCTGCACCTGAAAATGATCTGTTGACTGAGTTGAAAATGTTAGCATTATTTGAACTTTACTCACTGTTAAAGGTGCATTGATTAATTAAGCTAAAAAGAAAGTAATTAGATATTTATGTATTAGTTATAAATCTTATTTTGAATTGTTTAAGATATTTCATTATTTCCATAATAATTTCTATATTATTTACACTAATTCATAAAAGGTGCAAAGTAGGACTTGTATACAGGCATGAGACATCCTAGCATCGGAATTGCTTGCACATTTGACATGTAAATTATCATTGTTTCACCCAACTTAACTTGCTATTTTTAATATTTTAAGTCATCTTTTATTTAAAAAATGTTCACTAAAACTAATTTTTCAATTTTTATTTATTGATATTTTTATTGCCATTTTAATCCTGCTTCACTGAGCTTTGACTAACTCAACAGCCATTTTACCTCAGTACATGATACAATTGTGAGAATCCAGACTTTAACAAACAATTTAATGTTGTAACATCAACTTTGTCAAGTATCTGTCAACTTTCACACCTGGGAGTATATCCTCTTAAGTTCTCAGCATCAATAAAGACACTTTCATGTGACCTTCTGACCTGCTGTCCCAATTTCATCATTTTAATATAATACCAAATGAACAGTCAAGCAGTCATCGTCAGTCCCTCAATAGTTGCAGTCATAGCCAGTCCCTCTAGGATTAAAGTCATCAAATTTTCCTGTGTCAGTGCTAATCATACTATATCAGATTTTCACATTACCCTCAACTGTGCCTAGAAGAAGAACTTTCCTGGATTCATCCAGAACACACTTGATCCAGACCTGTCCCAAACAATCCAAATCCGGACAACCCCAAGATCCTAGACCTCCAAGTCCTCCCAAAATCCAAATCAAAAAACATCACCACATCAATGAAGGTATTTCCTGACTCGCGAACAATTGTAAACTCTCTCTCTCTCACAACTGCTAGATAGATAGGCTAACTCGATATATTTCCTCACCAAGATTAACATGATACAATATACAAGATATATGAGGATATATATCTTGTATATTGTATCATGTACTCTTTTTCATTGAAATTAAACGATTATTTAGTTGTTAACTTTATTGTCTGAGTACTTTACTTCTGACGGACTGTCTCTCTGTTCCCATCTGGAACCCAATTGCTTACTCATGTGGCTGCTCATGTGATCTACTTTTTAACCCAAACTAAACTTACTGTTGTGGTTTCCACGTCAACCGAGACACAGTGGTGTCAGTCCTGACAAGGCATCAAAGAGGTGCCAACCTTCTGGTCACACATTATAGTTCCATTATTTTTGTGAAAAGTTTCAAAAACAAAATTAAAATGTCACATCAATTAAAAGCTTATTATTTCTTAGAATGCAATAAAATTTACATCACAAAATTTAGACTCCTTAGTGATTAAAAACAAATAAAAGAAACCTGAAAAATTGTGTGATTTTGTTTCAATTTATTTTCTGTTTCAGCTAAATTCTACACTATCTAGAATATAGCAAATATTTTGTAGTAATTGCTGAACTAACTATTTATTGCAAAACAGAGGAAGCTTTGGTTTCTTTGATGTTCTTGTCAATTGCAAAAAATCTCTTAATTCAGTATTGTTATTTTGCAGCTATTTTTAAAAATGTTGATAATGGACAATAAAACAATTTATAATTTGCTGACAGCACCTACAAAATGCTTTGTTATTGGTTTAAATTTCAACTGAAAAATTGAACAGAAACAAAAATGTCAAAATATCTTCACACTTGTTTTCAATCTTATTTCTGTCAAACAGAAATCCTAAAATGTAAACTCATAATTCAATTTCAGTTATACTTTCAAGCAGTGCTACTGTTTCTAGGATAATTACCATTTTCCAGGGTAATTTCAACATCTCAGGGTAATGTTTAAGGTCATCTTATATTTAGGGTAAATCTAGGGTAAAACTGCTCTGTGACCTGATGCTCTGATGCTATTATCATTGCGCCAGAAGTTTCGCTGGAAAAAGTTTTAGCTTAAAACCATCAGCTCATCTCACTTTGTGGCAGATTTTAGTTATTAAGATTTTTAAAAGCAATGAATTAATAATTGTTCTGATTATTATTTCATGATAATAGTACAGGGATCTGTGTCAGAATTGTTCATCTTATTTTTTTTTATTCGAGCATAAGCTTGATGATGGTTGAGCTTGAGCTCAGAGAGTGTTTTCTCAATTTCGGGTAATCTAGGGTTTTTTTTTTTACTCTTTCCACCCTGTGAGCACTAAGAGGGCCTCTTAAAGCAGGCCCATTATAGGTTTGGCCAGGCCCACAATGAGGCGACTGGGTGTTGAGTGACGGGGCCTGACGTATCTGAACAGACCATCCCCTGAAAAATTCCTGGGGATTCTTTAACCCATCCGGATTTGATCCCAGTCCCCCAGAGCGGTAGGCTGCCACCTTGACAGCTCAGCCATCCGGCTGGGTAATCTAAAGTAAAATGAAGGTGCTGTCAGGGTAGTTCCACCAAAAACAGGCTCTCAAGTAACTTATAGCCCAGACTTTAAGCTTTTGTTTGAGCTTTACTCTTCATAATTTGAACTCAATCACACAACTTTTGTAGTAACATTTTTCAGAACGTTATACATTAAATAAAATTTAAAAATAAAAATTATTTAATCATAACTTTTTAAAAGGATATTTGCTATTTACCTGTATAGTTATCTAGTCCTTGTATCCATGGATCTAACTGATGCATATGGACAATGTGAGCATCAGCCCACCTGTTTACCCACCCTGAAATAATTTATTCAAGTCTAAACTGACCATTATTGGAAGAATTTCTTTAAATATGAATTAATTGTTTGCCAAATAATTACATATTCTCACTAAACATTGTTTTCTGCTTACATGTCTTACTAAAAATCAATTGCTGAATTTTAAAAATTAGTTTGATAAAATGTGCAGATAATATCTGTCCCATAAAATGTGTCACCCCATCTCAACCCTTCCAAAATAAAAATTTTAGCACCATTGCTGTGCTGTTATAGACAAAAGAATTTATATCTAAATACCAACTAAATGACATTTAGTATCAAAAACTGAATTAAATAGTCAAAAATATAGTATAAAAGGCAAAAAACTTGTGTACATTAATGACCCTTAGCATGAATGATTTTTAAGCATACATACATACATACATACATAAGTTCATAATCTAAAAAGGGTGAGCAGTAGGCAAAAGGAGAATACCATCCTATCTAATGTAAGCAGATTAAAAATTAGGTGACTGATGGCTTAATTCTCCATATATATACAGTTGAATTGTCTATCTCAAACATGTTTACCTCTTGATCTTAAAATTTATTTTTTTTCCTGCATTTTCAGTTCAATATATTTTCCACGTTTATCTCAAATAATTTTCTCCCAAATCTTCTATATCTCAAATTATGGACTAAAGTGTCAATTACAATTTCAAAGCCTGGTGACTCNGACATTTTTTTTTTTTTTTTTTTTTTCAGAATTATCAATAATGAGATTTTTTTAAAATATAATATTCAATAACTGATTATTAAAATATTGGCACATGTATTCATTGGTAATGCTATATGAAATTTGACTTATTACTTTATATATCAGACTATTATATATAATATTATTTTATATTAATTAACTTGAACATTTTTAAGATTTGATTTTTCATTTTGGAACAAGCAAGTCAACTTGTCAAGAACAATCTCTGAAATTTCATAATTCTTAAAAAGTTTAAAATTTTAAATATTACAATTATTATATTAGAACTGATTTTCTTAAAATTCTCTATAGAAACATAAAATATTAAAAAAAACCAAATTCATTTATAACAATCTGAATTTACTTAAATAAAATTTTCACCTGAAGAAAGAGGAAAAAATGTTTACATGCAATATCATAATTTAATAAACAACATAATCCTAATCCCATAACTGCCTGTTTTCTAATTGCAGGATCTTCATTTTGAATGCCAGGTAATAACTGAAAAGACAATATTTAATTTAAATAAATAACGATAATGTCAAGATTTTCCAAATTATTTCATTCTAAATTAACTTTATTCTTATTTAATATTTTTAAAATAATACTCAAAATTATATTGAAATGATTTTATCTTTAATTTAGGCTATGTTAGTACTAAACTCAGGGCTATGCAAGTTTGATAAATTAGTTTCACACAATCAATAATACACAAATTCAAAATGAAACTTTTAATAAGTATATTGTGCATTCAAGAATCATCATAACATTTAAAAAACAGAATTTGATAATTAATATAATAAATAATCATTGGCCATGTCAAACTTATTATTTTTACTTAGAATTTGATAAATTAGAACTATTGCATTTATACACAGATATATCAATACATCTAATAACTAGTACTATAAAGGTTGGTGTTAAACATAGAAATACATAGGAAAAGAATTTAAATAAATAATTCCAAACATCTGAAATTTGAGCTAAAGGTAAGCTTCAAGATCTGTTATATATAATTAAAACAATTTTTAACAAAAATAAATTGGATTGGAAAGTGTATGCATTATTTCCACATTGTTCCAATCAGGTATAAAAACCTTCAGTAACTGTTAATTTTGCTAATTGCAATGCATCTTTCCTTTTATTTCCCATTTATAGTTGCTGACACATTTACACAGGAGTCTAGTAATGGCTCCGATGTAAAATATGGTATCATAACCTTCTTTGCTGAAGGGTATGCTACATACATCAGAAGGCCACTATATTGAATACATGTCATATTGTTAGAAAATTCCTGAATACAGACACACATACTTACACACTTATTTAATTTTTGTCTTGTTTTGGTTGCTATACCTTGACTCTGGTCCGGCATAGCAACCAGTGTCAACTGAGTATAACCCACTAAACAACCTAATAATAATAATAATAATAAAATTTTAATAAAGGAAACAGAAATAGAAATTACCAATGTTTCCATAGTTGATTGTAGAACAGGAGTTACTGTTTTCAAATTAATCTGTTTCAGAGTTTCACATATTATAGTAATACACTTCAAAAGTATTTGGGAATCATTCTAGATATATAAAATATATTATTTTGAAATTTAAATTTTTATTTTATAAGTTATTGAAAATTATGCAAAAATTTAATTATAATTAAATAGAAATTAACTGTAATCAGAGCTTTTTAAAATTGTACCTTTTCTTTACGCACTTCTTCTATATTAGGCTGAATCAACAATTCATATTCTTCTTTTAAAGCCTCTAATTCTGTAATTTTATCTTTGACTTTTTGTGCAGCAGAATACTCAGCATTTTTCAAATTTTCTTCCAAACAATCCCTGAGACAATTAAGTTCAACAGATATTTTTGCTATCTATTAAAAAATAATAATATATTTTTTTGTAATAATGCATTTTGTAAAATAATATGATGTGTGATTTAAAAATAAAGTGAAAAGTTTATTAAAACAACAAGTATAAATTTTGACTTATACTTTTCATACTTTGAGCAAATATCTCTCAAATGTATTCACAAACTCTAAGTTCATTCATACTTTACTTTCACATATGGATATAAAATGAAATTAGATTACCACTTTGCTTGTTACGGATATTATAAACTTGATTAAGATATGACTTCAATAGTTTTATATATATATAAACAATTATCTATTATTTTTCAATTCTAATACATTTTTATTGTTAAATAATATAGTATTATTATAATCTTATATTTTTATTTCATTACAATAATTTTGTAGTAGTTTCTTTTATTGAAATATTAAACTGATTAAAATCAAACAAATTTATTTTTTGGTAAATATGCTTTAGGCCAAGACACCCATTAACATAAAATTCCTCACCATAATTATTTTCAGTTAAGTGATGTAGTTGTTTTTGCACTTGGATTGAGATAGAGGTCCAGCTCCACTAGCAAAGTTTTTATGGAAATGGTGCTGCCACTAAGTGAAAAAAGTAAACACTTTTCCACTTTTCCACACATAATTTGATGGAAGCAAAGCATCGTAGCTTGGTTGTTCATAATAATCAGTTTTCTCAAACATTTTAAATGAAACTACAGTCGGCCCCCCTATAACACGGGTTCCTATAGTTCGGATTCCTATACGACAGTGAAAAAATTGTGATGGTATCTGTACAAACATGGTAAAAAAAACTCCTATAATTCGGTAAAACGTCATCAGGCAGCCGAACTACTTTCAGCTGTCCAGTGCCATGCCACAGAGAGTTTAGGCGGGTAAATTGAGTTTACTATCGTCTGTACAGTATGTAAATTAGGTACCATAAGTCTAATACAGCACTAATTTTATACATTTCTTGTGAAAGAAACATTTCTTATTTAACGGCCATAAAAATTATTTATATTAATGATGTCTCCAAAGGTCAACGAAGTTTTCGCAGAAAAATAATATCAGAAATCGCGGCCGCAATTTGATGCGCTGTTCCGCGACGAAACCAAGCTTTAGCAACGAGCGTAGTCAAAGGGTACACACTCGGTAAGTAATCCTACAATTTTTTGTTTATAGCATAGTTTATACGAATTATTCCCAAAAAAATATACGTGTTTTGGAAATGTTGAGTCGAATTAGTCTAGGAATCGGTTAATTTTATGGAAGAAAACCTTTCAAACAGCAGTAGTCCGTAAACTTCACACGTGTCAGGCTGTGATTGGAACGACTCGTAAGAAATCGGATTCCTAAAAAATGGAACATATCTATGATCTTATAGGGGGGTCGACTGTAAATAATACAGAAGTTTGTGTTATAATATTTGAAAAATACTAATAGACAAATTATAAAAATTATAGAAGCATATTCAATCATTTGTATTTAAATTATGTCATAAATGCCTTGAACATATACTCCAAATCAGTTCACAGTTAGGTTTAATTAATTTGACTATAAATAAACAACAGCTTTCATATAATAAAAGATAAATCTGTCCAAAATCACAGGAAGCAAACTGGACTTAGCAGAAATAAATAAACGACAAATCTTTTCTTAATCCAGCATATAATTATTCAGAAAAAAAACAACATTTTCAGCTATTTTAAACAGCCATTTTCAGGTTGGAATTCTAGAATGATCATTTGAAAAAATAAGGGTAGTGCATGTTCTGATGAGTTATTGTTCATAATGAAGACATTTCCAAAGCCATGTAATTAAGGCTTTAAGAGGTTAGCCTATTGCACATTACCATTATATTTTCAAATGACCATTCTACAATCATGTGTTACTTTTTCCAAATTATTATACGCTGGATTAAAAAAAGGTTTGTAATTTATTACTTTATAATAAAAATAAATGTAATGACTATATCAAAACTAAAGATATTTGAAATATGTTTCATTACAAAATTTAAATAATTCTTTTTTAAAAAGTTTGAAATACCTTCATTTCAGTGTCTTTTTTAGTTCTTGGGGAACACTCTTTAGTAATCACCATAATTGGTTGTTGAATATCGGAAATCATTTCAGCTATATTGCAAAGACATATTTCAGGATTGAGATGAAGTTTAGTGTAACATTTGACTAAAGGCTCCATGAGAGTCAAATAAACATTTGAATCTTCAACCAGCTTCAAAAATAATTGTTGAAAAGCTTTCCTTAAAATTAAATAAAAAAAAAAAAATTACATAATGAAATGCTAGTTATACAATGACAACATTTAAATTTCATTAATTAAAGAGAAAATTTATTGTATTTTCTTCCGTATTTGCTATTAATTTAAAAAAACAAGCATTCTGCAAAATATTTAAAAAAATAAAATTGTTTTATTCTTCTAATATCTCCAAATACTGGTAGCCCTCAGTTTACGCCGGTTCAATTTACGCCGATTCACAATAATGCCACTGTGCAATTCGCTGTTTCAAGGTGTAATTCCCCGATTTTCCCTATGCTAGACTGATTTTCATTTCAGTGTTGACATATTTACTGAGCCAAGACGTTGTACATTTGTTAAAACAAAGATTTTTATTAAATATATTTATTTTTTCTGTTTAATATTATTGGGTATGTATACATTTGCATTAAATTAATATTAAAATACTAAACGTTTAGGTACCCACGAGTCAAGTTATCAAACTTAATTGTCCAATAAATGGCATCCGAATCCATAGCACCAATCAATGTATCCCGTATCAGTTCATTCAGGAAAACACCTTACGACGCAATAGCACTTCCGGCAATCACAAATTATCATTAGTGAAACAAATCTACTTCTCGTTGGCCAGATGATATTTATCTCTCCTTAGCCACCTTGAATTTTCCCACTCAAACTGACCTTATATATGCGCTATGGCAACCGGTGGTCGACCAATCAGTGTCTTCGCTCGTCTGTAGCTCTACGTCGCGTTAACATATCCTTTCAACTAAGGAAAGTTTGACGGATGAAGTTTGTGAGTTAGACAATGTTGGGAGCGAAGTGCAAATGTAAAAAGGAGCATCATATTCGACCATATTCCGAAATTCTTAATGAAAGAAATAAAAAATGTAAACAATTAAAGATGGATACTTTTTTCCGAAAAATGTAAGAAATTCGAAACTAAAATTTTTAAATAAAAACATTTTACTTTATTTTATGATAAAATACATTTTAAAAATTAAAAATTTATATGTATTTTGTATTAATAAACAAAATTATTAGCTTATTTTTCACTTATGTAGAACCTAATCCTATACCTCACTGTAAATACAGGTTTGTTTTATGCTGATTCGATTTGCGCCGGCTTTTGTAGGAACGAAACTGCGGCGTAAACCGAGGACTATCTGTAATCTTATTTCTAAATTCTTCTAATAAGATATATCTATGTCAACCAGTAACCCGTGGTGTAATTGTTCTACAAATACAGTAGAGCATCGATTATCCGACCCTCGATTAACCGTCACATCGGTTAACCGACTGTTCTAGTCGGCAAATTTCAAATGTCCGCTAGTGATGTGGCGCTACAATATTTGGCTATGTCTTGGCTACTTTAATATTATTTTTGTTAAATTTTTGCGTGTTTTAGCTGGCATCAACAGCTTGACCATTGAAGGGAGGCCAGTATTTAAACGAGACTTAATTTTCTAATTATAAGTGGTTGTTTGTTTCGTGAGCAATAAAATAATTTAAAAATAATTTTTAACGATACAATAGCGACGATTATTATTTTTAAAAAATTTTTAGGCTAAACATCGATGAAAATTCAACGTGAAGTTGGTTAATTAATAGCGATATGTTAATTACATGGGATATCCTAATATACTATACTAATGTATTTTTTTCATTATTTTCGGTTATCCGATTTTTTCAGTTATCCGACCAACCTGAGTCCCCAATTGAGTCGGATAATCGATGCTCTACTGTAAA